TCCCATGTTTAAATCAGTTCATTGTAGCTGCTATCTAGACAATAAATTGAAAGAGCATCATGGGAGTGATCCAGTTTCCTGGTTTCCTTTACTGTCTGAAGTGTTTTGAGCTAATAGCTGGTACTATGTTTTGTTAAAGTAATTTTAAAAGTAAGTCATTAGACCGAGGTGGCCCTACTGCCTTGGTAGCCTATGGAAACTAACCAAGGTCCTGAGTCAGAATCTATGCACTTGAATTTGGGAAATAACACTTAGGAACAACCAATCACAAGCAGTAAACTAGGCTCTCCCAAAGGAGGCAAACTTAAGCTCTAAACAATCAAATAACTCCCTAACATTGCTTTCTGCATCTTCTCTCTAAGAACCTTGGCCCTGTCTCCTGTTGGTGGAGGGTTCCTAAACACTTTTAGCTTGGTGCTGCCTGATGTGAATTGAGATTTGCTCAAATGAACTTGAGAGTCTTAATATGCCTCAGCTTGCCCTTTAACAGTTTCTAAACTTACTCACTGCAGATAAAAAATTAAAAGGTGGCAGCCCTGTCTCAGTTCACAATTCTTATTCCTACAATTCTTAGCACTCCACCCCCACCCCCTGGTTCTGTACCCCAGTAAGAAAGCTCTGCTGCATGGCAATGATGACGATGATGATGTGATGTGCTGGTGATAATGACTGACATTAATTGAACATTTACTAGGATACATTATGCTCAACGTGTATTCATATTATCAAATTAATTATCACAATTATACTGTGAGATAGGTACTGTTATTACTGGGGAAACTGAGAAGTAAAGAGACTACTTAACCAAAGTTACAGATTGTAAGTCACAGAACACAGTACATTTATATAAACCATAAACGTTGTAACCGCTAATACAACCATAAACCCTAGTATATTAGAATGTAACTCCAGGAGGTTGAAATCTTGTTGATCTTGTTCTTTGCTATAGACATTATAATGTTTGTTGAATGAATAAATGAGCATGCCTGGAGATGATTAAAATAGATTCCTCAAAGAGAGTTTCAATACAATGGAAGGAGATGGATGGATCAAGAGAAAACTAATGAGCCCAAGTTAGTTGGGCTATAACTTGAAAAACAAATCTATACAGCTTGGACTCACAGGTGCGCATGGGGGCAAGGGTGTAGCAGATAAACATAATTGTTATATTTTGTGCTTTGTGGCCATTTGAACATCCTTATTGATTTTGCTAGTTATTAGCAGCAGGTGTTTCCCCCATTAAATTATTTTCTGATATTTAACTCAAAAATAATAAGTAGCCATAAAGTTAGCTGATTAGATTGGCTTAATCATATCATCATGACTATGTTTACAGAAAAATAGTTGAGGATTATTACTTTAGGATTTTTTAAAAAATAATCAAAATTGTGTGAAATTATCACTGTAATGTAAGCAAACTCATCGACTGTTAGTTCTTTTGTTTTATTCTCTGCATCATGCTCTTCTTTACCATATATGTTTTCTTATCACTTTTCAGACTTCTTAATATTCTCTTGGTTCTTTAAAAAATCTAATTTCCTTTCAATTCATTCCGCATTTTGCTTGTCCTCGTCCTCATGAATAAATTGTGTATGTATGAAGATATCAGTGTATATAGATGAACAATGTGAATCAGAATACATTAAACTGACATTGTCAGTCTTCTTTCAACACCAACCTCACAAACATTAGTTTCCGTTTTTAAGAAAAAAACTTGTGCTACATTAAGCCATCGTCAACTATTTTTAAACCCGTTTTATGTGGTTACATTCCAAATAAGTGTCAAAGTTTATAATTTAATGAGAAAGTTTTATATTTAGAAAAGTTTCAAAAGAAAAGTATTTACTTTAATACCTGGGTAGATGGGTTCATTCCAGAGGTACCACATGAGGACAGAGAGTGCACACGGAGTTTTCTGCAAAGAATGTTTATTAAGTTAATCTTATTTGAGCCTTGGCTTTCGTTATAAAATCAGAAGGAGATGTCCTGCATAAAAAATAGCCTTAGATACATGTGAATCATACTTAAGAACTGAGAGTTTATTTGTATAAAAGAATTTTAAAAATAACCTTCTGAGTAAATATTAACAATATTTAAAATGTGAACATAATTTAAATAATAATGCTTAAAAACTTTTTCATCAGTTCCGAATTAACAGCCATCAGTGTGTTCATATTTTGTTTCTGTATATTTAACTAATAAGCAGTGTCTATTAAGGACAGAAAGATAAGGGTATGGTACTTACTGCGCCTTACGAAGCACCAAATATCGTTGGACACTGCCGCTTACGTTTAGCAGTCACAGGCCTGGAGGGGAAGCGAGCCGCTGCTTAGCGCAGCCAACACGACAAGGTGAAGGACAATGAGGCCCTTTTCCTTGACACGGACTTATTATTTAACTGATGAATTTCTCAAATTTGAAATTTAATAAATTGGTAAGACAAGAAGCTTCTTATGAATATGATAGAAAGATTCACAAAATTTTAATTATATAGAATTTTCACAGATACCCCAGTTTGCCCTGACTTTGAATTCTAACATTTACAGGCAATATTCAACGTGAAATTCTAATTGACAAGAAGGAAAAGCCAAGGCAACAGGGCTCCTACTTTGTCAGGTTTCTAGTGACATTAAGTAAAAATTTTAAAAGCTAAGAGTTTATTCTCAGTGTTCTTTCCATTGTAATTACTGTTTACCAATAACTTCCTTCCCCACTTTCTGAAGTTCCCGTCTCCCTCAGAGAACTTGAGATCTGGGAAATAAATAGAGCAAAAGGTACAGAGAGATGAAAGGGTGAGGCTGAAGAGGTTTGGGTCGAGATTTCAATAGCCTAGGAATTGTCAATAACAAGTGAGCCATCTGACTTTGCAAATTTCTTTTGTTAAATATTAAAAAATAATTAACATGTAACCATTTAGATTATACTCCCAAGTCTTAGATGCTAGGCCATTAGTTTTAGAAACACACGTCTTAGCATGACTATTGGCTAAAACTTGGGGAGTCATATTCCTGTAGGTTATATTTAGAGAAGAGGTATTGAAATCTATAAATTATGTGGGGGATAATGGGTATTGCTACACATAATTCATTGGGAAAAGTTTGCCCTTATGTTAAATGTAAATCATCATTTCCAAAAATGTGTATGTTCTCCAAACCTATTAATTTGAATATATAATCTATATTTTTTTAAATTTGTGGTAACTGTAAAATTAAAACTGTCATAAAAGTTAATTTTCATCTCTTCTTTTAAACTCTAGATTTTTGTGTATCCCTCAAAATCTCTCTTAAACATTTGTTTTTATGATCTAAATAACAGAATAAAAATTAAAATAATCATCTTGACTTTTTTAAAAACCCACATTTGTTGTTTTTAAAACAGCATGAGGTAACTGACTGTGAATATGTTTCTGTGCATGAAATTCTTCAGTGAGTTCAGCCAGTCAGATATGTATCGCTGTTTCACCTGAGAATGGCTCTTTGCTAAATTTTTGCATGCATTTTGGCATCAAGTGAACAGAAACACAAAGTTAACATTTATATTACCTGATTTTTAAAGTTTGAAATAACTGAATAGAAAAGTAAAAGATAACAGGGGCATAGGAGGTAATTTAAGAGTAATATAAGTATTAATAAAGAAAAAAATTTAGATTATTGCCTTGAAAACATGTTAGACTGCTTTGCAAAAATTATTTTTACTATTACTATAACATGTAGAGTCATATGTAATAGAGGTGACCATCAATTTGACTTTTCCAGTTATCACTTTTTATTATTCTTTATATATTTACCATTATTATATATATCCCTAATACTATAGTTTTGCCCATATTTTTAAATTCTATATAAATTAAATCATACTCTATAAATTTTTGCTTTTTATCCAAACTTAAGTTATTAGATTCATCTGTTATTATATGTAATTATAGTCTTTCTTTCTAGGGCTGTGCAATATTTCATTGTGTGAATATATCACAGTCTTTTTATCCATCCCATTGTTAATGGGTATTTTGATTATTTTCAGTTTAAAACATTTAAAATAAACCTTCCTGTGAATATTTTTGGACACTTCTCTTGGTACACATAAACTTGTATCTCTAAGTATATCCCACCTAGTGGGGAGTTTTCTGAGTCATTAGATAATATATATTTATTCAGCTTTAATAAATAATGTCTCCCTGGTTTCCACAGTGATGTATCAATTCATATTCTCACCAGTAGTAGAAGTTTCTGTGGTTCCATAACTTCAACACTTGGAAATCTCAGACTTGAAATTTTTTACCAATTTGATAGGTATGTATAAATATCCCACTGTGGTTTCAATTTGCTTTTTCCTTATCACCAATAATATTGAATTCTTTATAAAAATGTTTATTTAACATTGTATACCTGTTTTGTAATGGCTGATTCAAGTCTCTGGACATTTTTCTATTGAGTTGTCAATATTTTTCTCATTGGTTTGTATACATATTTTAATATTTTGAACAGCCTTTTGTTGGTTATATGTCTTAGATATATCTTGTGAGGCTTGCCTTTTTGCCATCTTAATGATATCTCTTTATTCAGTTTTCATGTTACTTTTTACTTTTTATGAACATATTTTACCAATAGACTACTGACTAAGATATTTAATCCAAAATATGAAGCATCTACTCTACCCCGTCTCTCAAACATCCATTTTATCCTCTCACATACTTTTTTTTATTCTCGTAAAAAAAATATATATATATAATATGAGACCAATCCACTTAAGAAATTTTTAAGTGAACAGTACATTGTTGAATGCTGTATAAGCACAATATTGTACAACAGATCTCTAGAACTTTCTTACAACACCCACCCTGGAATCTTATGCTGTATAGATTCTTGGTTCAGAGAGGACCCCAATAAATATTTTTTGAATTAAGTTAAACAAAATCTCTATTGAGGGAACTGCCTCAAAAATTCACTAGATAAATCATTTCCTGTTCCTTCACAGCTTTAACTGTTGTAAGTTCATGAACAATGAATTCACTTCACTCTGCATGTTGGAACACTTCTGCTGAACTTTTGAACAAATCCTGGAATAAAGAGTTTGCCTATCAAACCCTCGGAGTTGTGGACACAGCCCTCCTCCCTGCCATGATTGGGATTATCTGCTCAACAGGCCTGGTTGGCAACATCCTCATTGTATTCACTATAGTAAGGTAAGGTTTCTTCTTTTCCATAATTTAGGGACCTTCATGCTCCCTAAATAAATGCTTTTCTCCCTGGAAGTTTTTCTTAATTAAATCAGGTTTGGCAAATATTTGCTTAAGATAATTTTTAAAAATTCTACATATATTTTTATCGTGCATTAAATAACATCTGAGTTACAGGTCTCAAAATGCCAAGACCTAGGCCAGGGCTTACTGCTGGGTTAGGGAATTTTTAGAATCATGATTCTCAGTCTTAGATACGATACATATTAGAATCACCTGAGGAGCTTTTTAAAATTCTAATACACACTTTCACCCCAGACCAATTAACTCAGAATCTCTGGAGGGGGAGCCCAGGCGAGGACTGAAACTGTGAGGCAATCATTTTATTTTCCAGCAATAAGAGTTATCCTAAGAAGTTGACCAGGCTGGGCTGGTAAAAAGATTCATTTTCACTCACTTGGGCAAGAGAGAGGCTGTGCCTACTTACCCAAAGATGCAAGCAGCCATAGATGGTACACTGTCCCCCTCAGTATTGACCACCCCCAAGGAGGCCAAACAAGAATCATAGTGATGCTGGGAAGCAAACCATGAACTCACCTATGACTCTGCCAAAGGAAGATTAGAAAGATGTATAAAACATATATACTAAAAAAATAAAAATAAAAAATAGGCTTAAGTAAGATGAAGCTTCCAGAATAAGATCTTCAATATGGCTTCTTTTTTTTTTTTTTTTAATGTAAGAAGCAATTTGTTCCTTGGGAGGGTGGCTATAGAGTAGTGAGGCCAGATCATGACTAGTCTGTTATACTTTAAACTTATAGTAGATCAAAAGGAAGCCAGCTTAGAAAGTGTAGGAGGAAAATTGGGCCAATTATAACATAGCATTTCCCCCCTGTTATTCTTCAGAGAGATTAATGAACTCAACCCCATAACTCAGCTATTCTCCACAGCCACAGTGGGCCTTGGGAAACTATTTCAGTAAAGGAAATGACATCTTTCTCCGTTGATTCCCCACCTCCATGTCCTGAACACATCTTTCTCCTGTCTACCGACAGGTCACTTCAAGTGAACAGAGACTCTCTAAGGAATGTTCTGTCTCCTAATAAATAAAAAGTTCCCACTTTGTCACTGCCTGCCCTCAACTCCCTGTCAAGGCAACTCATTCACGCTGAATCATGAATTAATAAACCATCTTACTTCTTAACTCTTGCAATGGTGTCTATGCAGAAATGACAACAGGGACGGTATGTTAACCTGAAGGAATACCAATGGCCTAATGGCAGAAACCAAGTTGCTAAGAGGAAGAGAAAATGCTTAGAACAAGCCGTCTTCCTTTTTCCCAGCTTAAATCATAACTAGTAGTTCCTTTTGACCCAGCCCTCTACTGCTTCCAGAGTGTCAACCATATATAAGCTCTCGTTGGGATCTCATTGGGATCTATTGAATATCTCTTTGGGATATCCAAAACTTTCTACATGTATACCCTATGTGTTAGGTGCTACAGAACCTCCCAGCCACAGCTGTTCAAATAAACTGAAAAGTTGGTGGGAAGTCCTTACTGCTATCGTCCAAAACACCAAGACAACTCTGGAATCTAAAGTGTTTTGGATGTGTTTCCCAAGAGCATAAATGAGGGCATAAAAATGAAAACAGAATTCCCACTTAGGTTCTCTTTCCACTATATTATTCTGTGTCTAGAGCAGGGTCGGCAAATAATGTGACGGTATTCTTAACCGTCCCATGCTTGGCAGGCATCTCTAACCACACAGGTCTGTCCTGCAGTTATGCCTGTGGGAGGACTCGACTCTTAAGCACAGTGCTTAATGAAATCACTGCTAATACACTGAGGCTGGCTCACAATAGGAATTTAATTCAACTAGAGTTAAATGCCAAACTGGGGCTGGTAAAACAAAAACAAACAAAATCAGGAAACTAACACTGCTTCCCATCACCATCTCTACCCCAACACCACCACCCTGAGCCAGGTGGAAAAAAAGAGGTGCTTTCATGGACCCCGGGAGTCTGGGCCGCCTGATGGGAGCTGTGGCCACAGTAGGACTTGGGACCATGGAGTTGGGCCTGTGGGAGAAGATGAAGCCATGGAAGGGATACAACCTCTGCCAGAGAGGCCAGCAGCCGGGAAGGAAGGGAAATACCCCGTCTCTACTCTCCTACTATCCTCCAATGTCCCTCCAGTAGTGCTGCCTATTGGCCAAAACTAACCAAAACCAGTTGGCAAGGAGGCCTAACAACAAAGCTGGGGATAAGGGGCAAGTGGATTTAAGAGCAAGCTGACCAGCAAAGCATCCTCCTGCGTGAGTGGTGTTATATGTTTTGTTAGTTTCATTTAATCCATAATATATAATGCTATTTCTAATTGCAAAACATAACATTCTTTTAAAAGAAAATTTTTAAAACACTAAAAATACAAAGAATAAAGTCAAAATCGTTATACTACTATTACCAAATAGATAATCATTGTGATCATTTGACATATTATTCCAGCATATTTTTAAACAAATGTTTAAATAAATCTGAGGTCATACTTTTTTACTTAAGTATTTTCACATTTGATTATATATTCTTACTAACTATGATTTATAACAACTATATTATTTATTGGATTGCATTATGGGACATTATAACTTATTTCATTGTTCTTCAAATTAGTAAGCATTAGATATGGCCATGTTAGCCATGTGGAAAACATATTAGCTGAAATGATCACTAGTCTACATTTTTTATTTTAAATTTTTTAGTCATGAGAAACAGAAATCTAATGATGTCTGGCCACAGGACACCTAAGGATAAATTAAACCTAAAAAAAGAATGCAAGTTGTTATTTTTAATTTCTATGCTGTCACCTTCAGTAAAAAAAAAAAGCAATAATAAATATAATGTGCTATTTTTATTGCTCTCATACCTTATGCCCAGATAAACACATCATTTGCTTCAGAATTCCCTTTTTCTGTACAAAACATCATCTAGAAACACTTTTATTTATTCTTTTTTATTGCCAGTTAATGGCCTGCACTGTCCTCAACAATGGAATTACCATAGTTGATTATCAGTAAACGATGGGTGTCTGTCTAGAGAACCAGCAAGAACCATCCATCTAACCACTACAGTTAGGACCTCAGCAACCAGTTATGGTTTATATCCCAATTTAAATAGAAATAACATCTATTTAGGGCCTAAAATTTATGGGATTTTTTGTTGTGTTTTTGCATTTGGGTTTGTTTTAGTGTTTTTATTGTTTGGTTGGTTGGTTGATTTGTTTGTTTGTTAAATGTAGAACTCTTTCGACTTGACCTCTGGTATTTGTTCTCCCCCCGATGCCCCCCCTCACCCCTACTTCTCCTCACCATTTCCCACACCCAATGTTCTAGAGAGACCAAGAATGAGAGACTAAGAACAATCACTTGGATGCTTTTTTGGTTGATGCAATCCTTTCCTCAAGTGCCTTTTTCTTGGTCTTTCTGATATGGGCCATCACCCTCCTGGGGGCAAGGAACCAGCCTGCTCTATCAAGAGTGTCCGAGTGTGGCTGATGAGTGAGGACTCAGCAGCAGTAACTTCCCCATCCAATGTGTGATGCCAGGCCCTGGGTAAACATCCTCACCCAGACTGAGGTCTCAAGTAAGGATTTGACGGCTCACATTTCACAGTCTGTAGAATTTGCATTCCATGAATAATGAAGATACACACTGGCTTCCAAACCTCAGAGCAACAGTCCTGAATCCAGAGGCAACTAGCAATTGTGGCATAATCTTAGGGCTTATTCTTATGTGCACTTTAAATTCTTATTTGTCCTCAGTTTAGATGCCACTTCTGCCAAGAAATCTGTTTTGACCGTCACCAAAGGAGGGGTTAGAGACCTCTTGTGTACTCCTTGTTCTTGTTCTAGCTTTCTCTCATGACATTATAATGTGATCATTTCACTAGACTACAAGCTCCTTGATATTATAGCTTATAGATGATTTAGCCTTGCAGCGCCAGAGCACAACATTATGCCCAATATATAATTGGTGTTCAATGAAATGTCTGTTGAATTATAAAAGTGACTCCCTGATAAAGACAGTGCTTATGTATTATTGAATGTCTCAACTCCTATAAGACAGGAACTTAAAATTGAAATTTCTGCTCTCAGAAAATTATTTTGCCTATAGAGGAGAGTGCCACATCTAGATAGCATTGAATTTAGTCCCCCAGCAGGAGAAATGAGATCGTTCTGTTCATTCATTCAGATTTCTTCTCCATGCTGTCTGGTTTCAAGGTCTTAGTGAATAGTCTTTGTTATTGGGTTAGATTTCATTAGAATATTTCTTAAAAAATTGTTGAAATTTTTTAACAATGGCCTCAGTTAAGATTTGAACATCTAGCTTCAGTAGGGAAAAATGCTTTGCACAATGGAACCCATTTATTTTTCCCTATTCAGTTGTTTTTGGTACTAGGGATAGGTAAAGAGTAAGCCTTTTGCCTGAGTGAGATTAGAGTTGGTACAGTTTGTTATCATGTAGAAATTACCCCAAAATCTAGTGGCTTAAAACAAACATTTATTATCTCACGCAACCAAGGGTCAAGAATCCAAGCAGCAGCTGAGCTGGATGATGCTGGTTCAGGGTCTCTCATAAAGTTGCAGTCAAGCTGCCCTGTAGGACAACGGCCATCTTGGCTGGGGCTGTAGCATCAACATTCAAGGTAGTCACTCACACACCTGGCAAGTTGTTGCTTGTTGTTGGTAGGCGACCTCAGCTCCTCTCCATGTGGACCTTTCCACGGGGTTACTTAAGTATTACCACAAGACAGCAGCTGGCTTCCCCAGAGAAAATGATCTGAGACAGAAAAGAGAAAACTCCACAATACTTTTATGTGCTAATTTCAAATGTCACACACTGTCATTGCTGCCATATTCCATTTGTTAAAAATGAGTTATTGCCCTGGCCTGTATGGCTCAGTTGGTTGGGCATCGTCCTGCAAACCAGAAAGTCACAGGTTCGATTCCCAGTCAGAGCACATGCCTGGGATTACGGATTCCATCCCTAGTCAGGGCATATTTTAAGAGGCAACCAATTGATATTTCTCTCTCACATTGATATTTCTGTCCCTCTCTTTCTCCCTCCCTTCCCCTCTTTCTAGAATCAATAAAAGAAAAAAAAATTTTAAATGAGTTACTAAGTTCAACCCACATTCAAAGGAAGGGAATTAGGCTCCATCTTTTGAAAGCAGTACCAAAGAATGTATGGACATATTTTTAAACCACCACAGTTAGATATCAGGTATATAGTTCAAAATGTTTAAATATACACAAGACTAGGCACTCATTCATATGTGCATTTGTGTAGGTTTTCCTTTAATTTTTAAAATCTCTTTTGGCAATTGAAAATTTTTAACAGATGATGTAAATTGAAGAAGGTACATACTTTCAATGTCAGTCTTCTGTTTCCATCCATTTCTTTCAGGTCAAGGAAAAAAAGTATTCCTGACATTTATATCTGCAACCTGGCTGTGGCTGACCTGGTCCACATAGTTGGAATGCCTTTTCTCATTCACCAGTGGGCCCGGGGAGGAGAATGGGTTTTTGGGGGGCCTCTCTGCACCGTCATTACATCTCTGGATACCTGCAACCAGTTTGCCTGCAGTGCCATCATGACTGTAATGAGTGTGGACAGGTAAGTGAAGAGACTCCAAAATATTTTAACATAAAGCAGAGGTGCCTATGCTTCCCCAGCTACATCCCACTGTGATCAATATCAGGGCTGGTTCGTAGCAGCAAGGCTCTTCTTCCTGGGGAACCAATGACTTAAGAATTTTTGTTCCAACGTTCACCGAAGTCTATTTTTAATGGAAAGATTAAAACACTAAAATCACCTTTTTTCTAATCATTCTTTTTGACCTGTGTTACTTATTCACTGCATTAAAAAAAAAAAGGATCTCAAAATCAGGAAAAGTTGGAAATGAGAATGCTCCCCATCGTTCTGGCAAGAAGCGGAGACTCCAAGGAGTGAGGGTATTTGCTGAAGGTACAGGGGGGCGATGGCAGAAGTAAGTCTCCTCACTCCCTGTCCACACAGCAGAAATTGTCTCACAGAGCAACCCTCTTAAAATCTCGATCCACCTTCCCACCCCAATCCCAACCCCAACCCAGCACATTTGATCTCCCTTGTTCTGATTTCCTTTGCTTCAAATATATGACATAGATTAATTTACTCTGTGTGTGAGTGAGGGTGTATTGTTTACTGTCCAGCTTCCCCTACCCCTCAAATGTAAATTCCACAAAGGCAGGGTCTTTGGTCACTAAGATATCCCAAGTGTCTATGTAACAGTGCCTGGCAAGTGGATGCTCAAAAAATATTGATGAAGAAATGACTGTCAGTCTTGAGGGCTGTGTTAAATCTCCCTGGGTCCATCCAGGGCTTCTTCCTGAGCTCTGACTCTTTTACCTGTCCAAGTGGGCCTTTGGGTGGCGAAGTTATGAGCAGTTCTTCAGATGGATAAATGAAGGAATAGCAAGGTTCATATACATATTCACTGGATGATTATTCAGACATGAATAATGATGGCAATGTTTAATGCATTTTTATATCCTGCTGCTTTTCTGTGGAAGAATTTTCCAAATATAGAATGTGCTTCTCAAGTTCTAATGAACATCACACTTGTTAATCAGCGTCCTGTGCAAGTCTAGTTAGTTCACCTGATGCCAGGGAATGCAGACAGTATGCTGAGTGAAGCCTGTGAGCCTGCCAGGGTTCCAACATTAGGGAGAAAGCCCTGCACAGGCCGGACCACTGCAGAAAAGCAATGGAAATTGCAGGCCTTACCAATCATAATCCCATTCTTGGAGATAATAAAACCTGCTTCATCCCTGTATGGGGAGTAAAGGAGAGCATTGGCTTTTCCTGTCATTGTACCTCTTCTGTGAACGTCTTACAGTACCACCCCTGTCCCCAGCAAAACTCTACTTTTTCAAATACTCTCCCTTCTGGGTCTGAATTCTCTTTTTCATCCTTTAGCTTTTAGTTGGCTCTGAAAAATCCTTCTTGGATTTGCTGGAGAACCAAATGTGTTGGATGTGTCAGGATTTCAAGTTTGATTAATGGTTATCCTTTTTTGTGGATCAAAAATGGAAAAAAAAGAAAAGAAAAATACAGCTCCATGAAATTAGCCCATTTCCCCCTCTGGCCCCCAGCCTAAGTTCTCTGAGGGATTTGCGTTGTCTATACTAGTCACATTTGTTTATTCTGGCTGTGATTTGTCTGAACTGAACCTCCAAGAGCCTGGGGACCCTACGGGAAAGCCATCTGAGCAAAATGCCTGTCTCACTGGGTCTGAACCTCACCCTGCTGGGGGACCCTCCTACCAGCCAGTGCCCTTTCCCCCTGCCTGCCTCTACATCAGTAAATCCCATTGGGCAAAAGAGCCCTGCTTCCTGGAGGAAATCCTTGTGCAGAGACCAAGTTTTATAGAGCCTCATCTACAAGGAAAGTACCTTTGCAAAGAAAGAGTTTGCAGCACAGAATTTTACCATCATCAGTGTATTCGTGGAAGTGCCAGCTATTTCAGTGAGTGGTTTATTCAGACTTGCAGGGTCAAGAGTTGTTTTCTCTACAGGTAACAGCCAGCTCTTAATAAATATAATTCTGATAGAGGTGTGCTTCAGGGAGGATAATAATACTAATAATTTGCTCTTGTCATGTACCATTCATCCTTGGAGCTCAGTGTTTTTATTGATTGTTCCCAAACTCCTTTTAACTGGCTTTGCAGGTACTTGGCTCTCGTCCAACCATTTCGACTTACAAGTTGGAGAACAAGGTACAAGACCATCCGCATCAATTTGGGCCTCTGGGCAGCTTCTTTTATTCTGGCGTTGCCTGTCTGGATCTACTCAAAGGTCATCAAATTTAAAGATGGCGTGGAGAGTTGTGCTTTTGATTTAACATCCCCTGATGACGTGCTCTGGTAGGTTGTTACAACGTAAGAAAAATCTAGTTGAATTAAGTTACGAAGAGCTTCATCCTCCTTGTCTACATGCCGTGCAGAGCGTCCTTGGGGACCCTCTTCCAAACAGTCTTCTTGCTTAGCTGTCTGCATTCCACAATCAAGTTGATCGTTTCATTTTAAGTAGAGGGTAACCTTTAGAAAAAGATTATTAATTCAATCACGCAACCTCAGCGAGCACAAATATACATAAATAAGGATTTTAAAGATCCCTGGCAGCCAGACACAGCATGAATGCAGCAATCAAGGGAGGGACGGAATATCAAAAAGTGTTTCGGAGTTACCGAGATGCAAACCTTACCAATATACAACTGGAGTTTTGTTTAATTGTGTCTTTACCCCCAAAAATATATTCAAGTCCTTACTCTCAATACCTATGAATGTGATGTTATTTAGAAATAGGGTCCTCGCAGATATGTCAGGTTACTATGAAGTGACACTGGATTAAGGCAGGCCCCCAATGACTGGTGTCCTCATAAGGACCGGGAGATTTGAACAGACACATGGAAAAGACAACACCTGTGAAGATAGAGGCAGAGATTGGGGGAATATGCCCACAAGCCAAGGAACACCAAAGATTTTCCCAGAAACCACCAGAGGCTAGGAGAGAGTCACGGAGCGGATTTTCCCTCAGAGCCTTCAAAAGGAACCAACCCTGCTGACACCTTGATTTCAAACTTCTGGCCTCCAGTTCTGTGAGGAAATACATCTCTTCTGTTTTTTTAAAGCCACCTAGTTTGTAATAATTTGTTACAGCAGTTCTGTATAACTAATACAGCCTCCAACACGGGCATTTCTCAATATTTTAATTTGAAAAAAAAATTAAGTCAAAAATTTTCTACTTGGAATTTTGAACATAGCATGGAAGTTTATGACTAAAACTTTTTTTGATCACCTACTAACTGCAAGGTACATTGCTAGGTGCTTTTTACATCCATCCATACATTATCTCAAGTTGATCTGTCAGATTCCTTGTCCCATTCAACACTTTCAAATATTGAGTCATTTTCGACATAGACACAGCCCAAGAGGGATGGAGGTAGAGGACCCACAAATCCAGTAACAGCAAGCTTGCAAGGAGTGCAATGCAGGATTGATTATTTACTTGTTATTTCTCCTACTGGCATTGGCTGCACACACAGACATAAACCATCCACCAATCTAAAGGTGAAATGATACTTAATCACTGGTACTGTTAGATTAATATGGACCTCAACCTATCTGAAAGGACACAACCTGAGGCTCACTATATGACCATAGGACTTTGGCCTCAAAGAAATAAATAAAGATTAACTATTTTGCACCAATAGCTGCTCTGCTAATTTTGGTTGGTTATCATAAAGGACATTCTGAGGTTTGGCCTCTGTTGTTCCTCCTAGAATTTAATCTTAATGGTGAACTGAGACTGGAACTTCTGCGTTGCCTTCAGCATCTCTCTGGTCCCAGGGGCTCTCTCTCCCTCTCTCTGCCTCTGTCCACACCCACCCAGCCTGGGCCACCTCCTTTCACCAACACCAAGGTACTTCCAGGAAGGAGGGCACCTGGCATCTGCGCAGAACTGGAATTGGCTCACCTGAGAATTTTTCCTGGCAAAGCACTGAGGAAAGACGGGCTGATTTTACAACAAACCTTTTGAGGGGCCATCTGGAGCCTTGACTACAAACATGAGCTGTATAGCTAAACTCTCCATCTGGGTTCAAATGCCCCTCTGCCGCTTGCTAGCCGGCTGAAGTTGGGCAAGATACTTAGCCCTGCTGTGCCTTAGTTTCTTCTTTGGTATAATACACTGTTACTAATGCCATTGTGCTCATGGGATTGCATAGATTCAACAGGTTAAGATACGTAAAGCATTCAGATCAGTGCCTACTATATAATAAATGCCATTGCCTACTGTTGCTAATAACACTAAGGATAATTATAATAATAAGTATCCTTACCTGTTCCATACTCAGCAGTGCTGGCCTTGGCTACAGAAGAGGGAAGCATCATTGTCGGCAAACAATGAAGAGTAGGGCTTCTTCACAGGAAAGCACTCAAAGATCTTAACTTTTCCCCAAGGACTTTTACCCTGGGCCCTGAAAAATCAAAGACTCGTGCCTCATAAACTGTAAAAGTTAGTTCCTAGCATTGTGAGTAAATGTAACAGTCATGTCTGCTCTCTCTCTTTCTCTCTCTCTCTCATTTTACAGGTACACACTTTATTTGACGATAACAACTTTTTTTTTCCCTTTGCCCTTAATTTTGGTATGCTATATCTTAATTTTATGCTATACTTGGGAGATGTATCAACAGAATAAGGATATCAGATGGTAAGTGTTTGCTTATTTCTCTTTATTTATTAAAAGAATAATTCACAGATCCTGAGACATCTACAACAGAAATTTAAACAGCAATCACTTAAAACATACCACAGTTAGACATATGGGCATTAATGTCTATATGAAGCATTTTCTAAAAATAAGCCATGTTCTGAAGCAGATATTTGAGGATCTCTCAGTGGTAAAAGTTGAAATCACTGAGGTAGCATTTCCTAAAAATGTAAACAGAACTCAAGATTCTATTTAAAGAATAATTTTATAATGTTTTTTTAAATATTTTATCTGTACATTTTGCAGAATTATATACATATGTAAGTATCCTAGATGTTGTATATAACTACACATTTTTGTGTGTTAATTTTTTTAATTTATAGAAATATCTCATTAATATTTGAATTCTTAGGACAAGATTAATTTGGACTAAATGAAGACTTACATAAAGACAATAAACGTTGGGAGGACCTTTAAAGATACTTACCTCTAAAACTGTGTAAATAAATATAAATTATTTTCTACTTGAAATTGTACATACCAATTTATATAAATGCATAAGTCAGTGTTTTTATAAAACACGTTGCGTTAAAAAAAAGCGTTATTAAAATTTTTCCTTAGAATAGATGATTGTGTTTGGTTTTTCTTAAGATTTTATTTGTTAATTTTTAGAGAGAGGGAAAGGAGGGGAGAGAAAGAGGGAGAGAACTGTCAGCATGAGAGAAAAACATCAATTGGTTGCCTCTTGCACATGCCTTGACCAGGAGTGAATCAGCAACCTAGGCATGTGCCCTGACAAGTTATCGAACCAGAGACTTATTGCTTTGCAGGATGATGCCCTACCAACTGAGTCACACTGATCAGGCCTGTATTTGCTTTGAAAAGACAAGATTCCTGGGTTTCCCACACACATTGCATGTAACAAAGTGAAGACTAAAAAAATAGGTGAATATTTTATACACCCATCAGTCAAAACTCGTGGCAAACTCTGGTATAGATGGTCTATTGGCCCATGACATTTTTTCCCACTTAGAATTTCTTGAAATAATTTGGTAATACTACATTCTTCAAGGGTAGTCTATTTAGAATGGGAAAGGGACATAGCCATGGATATAGGGGGGGAAAACACCTTCTAAATGTGTCACAGAGAGCCGAGTTGGTGAGAAGGTTGAAATGGAATGTTAAGATGCCGACAGCTGGGAAGGATGCTTGAACCCTTTTCCAACAGTTCTCCAAAACAGATCGCTTTGCTCCCAACACCTCCTTCAGAAATGCCAAGAGAATCTTATGAAACAAAGCTCATACTGTAGAGTTATCCCTCAAAATGCAAAAAGTTAGAGGAATGATGGTGCTACTCTGATAAACTTTACAGAAATTCATCTTAGAATGACTTTCAACTGCCATGCTACTTTTCGCATTATTCCTCAGGTTTATTTTATCTGCTTCAGCCACGTCCAGCGTAATATCCACTAAATGCCTAACTATTACATAACATGATAAAATTTGGGAATTTATTTTTTTATGTTAGAATAATTTAAATTGACAGGGAAGTTGCATTAATAATGCAGAGAGTTCCTATATTCTCCTCATTCAGTTTCCCCATTAGCATCCTACCAGGAAGCATTTGTCAAAACAAACAAACAAACAAAAATGGCATTGGTACATTCCTATTAACTAATCTCAACCTTTATTGGATTTCACCAGCGTTTCCATTAATGTTCTTTTTCTGTTCCAGGACTCAATCCAGAGCACCACAGTCCATTTAGTTACCATGTCTCCTCAGTCCCCTCTAGTCTATAACAGTTTCTCCCCCTTTCCTTGTTTTTCAGGACCTTGGTAGTCTTAAGAAGTGCTAGTTAAGAGGTATCCTGCAGAATATCCCCCAATCCGGCCTTGTACAATTAGACCCTAGTTATGTGCTTTTGGGAAAAAATCAGCTCTTCTCATCAAAACACATCACTTGATTAGGGCAATGTTTACCAGGTTTCTCCACCATAAAGTTACTATTTATTTCTTTCTCTATTCTTTGGAAGCAAGTCACAATGTATAATCCACCCTCAAGGGGGAAGGGAGAGGGTGGGAATTAAGCCCCATCTCCATGAAAGGGGAAGGTCTATAGATATTATTGGAATTCTTCTGGAAAAACAAGTATGTCTCTTCTTCTCATTTTATTCAATACTATATTTGTATCAGTATAGATTCACGTATTTGATACTTTGGGCTTTAATTCAATACTATGTTATTTATTTTGCTTCTCAAAATCTTCCAGTTTGGAAAATTTGAGAAGTTTTTAACAAATGAAAATCTTTTTACAGTGCTCTGAGTAGGAATAAAAAGTGAGCTTCATATTGCACTGCATAGCCGTTATAAACTGTTCAAGAGGTTCTAGGAACCCATTGCCCTGTTGTTCCTAAGACTGTCTATGTTCTATCCGAATGTTGCTTTGTAGTTACAGCCCCAGTGTTCCAAGGCAGAGAGTGATGAAGCTGACAAAGATGGTGCTGGTGCTGGTGGCCGTCTTCATCCTCAGCGCTGCCCCCTATCACGTCATACAGCTCATGAACTTACACATGGAGCAGCCCACCCTGGCTTTCTATGTGAGTTATTACCTCTCCGTCTGTCTCAGCTATGCCAGCAGCAGCATTAACCCTTTTCTCTACATCCTGCTCAGTGGAAATTTCCGGAAACGCCTGCCTGGGGTGCAAAGGCAAGTGATTGAGAGGGAAATCCACAACATGGAAAACACTTCGAAATTGAGTTTTTAGGAGAGTACACGGATCACCAATCATTTCTATAGCTTGTCTAAGTTACTGGTATTATTAGAAGGACGGGAAAAATGGTGGATTTGTGTCTAGTCTTCTTATGCACTTGTGACTCTTAGTAGAGTGGAAGAGAAGTGTAACCATTCAAATGCAATGAGTGTAATATGCTAACCTTAGTAGACATAAAATATTTATCTGTACCTGAGAGTAGGGAATAGAATAGTCTAAGATACCCAACTCCATGGTTATAGATGTTATTTCAGCATGTTATAAACTAGTCACTGGTGGAAGTGACCGTCCATGACCACTGACTGAAAACTCACCAAGGAATCTGACCTTGCCATCCATAACTTTGGACTCACTGTAACAGTGCCCTTGGGGTTCCTAGAAGAGGACTTAAATTTGTCTATGTTTTATCTACAAATAGATAATTTCATGGGGTCCAATCTAATGCCTTCGACAATCAGCTTTGTCTGTTAGCATAATAGTTACCATGTATTGAATATGTGCAACATTTAAGATTGCATGTAACAAACCTGTGAAGTAAGTATTGCCTTAGTTTACTAAGCTCAGAAAGGTTAAGTGATAGGCCTAATGCTGCACAGCTACATAAGAGCTGGGCTGAATCCAGGTCTGCCTATTTTTGTGTTTTTACTGAATTACCTTGGCAACTGTACCTATTATGAAAGGAACCAATAAATAATTTGGGAGGTAGGGGTTGCTTTTTCCTGCAGCCCCACAAGGAAAGGAACAAAGTCTGAAAGAAATGAGTTGATGGTTTTAAGCATATTCTTTTACATTTAGCTTTGTTCTCATACCTATAAATTATAAAAAACCAGCATCTCTATTTTAATAAGAGTATTCTTCAGGATGTTAAGCATACACTTAACAACATTCTTTTTAGGTTCAATATGCTTGTTCAAGGGTACAAAAAGTAAATTAGCCCTTAAATTTGTAGGTATTCACATACGTTATACATAGCTATCTTTTCCTCTTTTGGCTTGTATAAAACATGTACTTTGAGATAGTAAGAAAAGAAAAATAATGCTTTTAAAGCCTGTATTCTCAACAAAGGTAAACCTTGTTATTTTGTTTGTGAATGAAATCTGTAATTCCACCTCCTTCTTCTAAATACATAAAACTGCTTGCTCTAAGGACATCTGATGCTGATTTTTAATCGGCCCTTAATATAAAAGTCACAGAGACCAGCTTTTTTAACAATCTAATCTCCATTTTTATATCTCAAATGCCAAACACTTGACTTTCAACTCAATGTACTTGATTCTAGACCTTTCAGAGGTGTTTGTTTTGTTTTGTTTTGTTTTTTGGAGCAAGGTACTATTTAAATCCATATCTGGATAAAAAGTTGTGTGAACTACAGGAAAACTACAAACAGGTCACGTCTTAGATATTTTAGTTCTGTAACTGAGGTTTGGAGAGCTAAACAGAGACTGGATGCTCCTTTACAATTTTGATCAAAAGCTGTGTCATGGCTGTAGTTCCAAGGGCCTGCATTTTCAATCCCCTAAGGTGTAGCCTTCAGGGTTTGGTGACATCTGAAGAAAACACAGTGGGTCATAAACTGATGTTATCACTTGATAATTGAAGAGCACCTGAAGAGTTCACCTCCATTGTCTTTTTCAATGAGAAAATATTGTTATTATAAAGATTGAAATGGTTTTAAGACAAAAGACATTTTTCTAGTAGCACTTCCAATACACCTCAAATAATTCCAATATATAAATCAGTGAATTATTTTAACTTCTATTTATTAAGAGCTATAAAGAAATTTAATCAAAGTGGAAAATTTTTTAGAGGTGACTATTAAACTCATTTTTGTGCCTTGCTATAGCTTTTCTATGCATAAGCATATATATGCAGATTTGCAGAGGTGGTCTGAGAGAGATTCTCTACATGTTTTATATCTGTGCCCATGGTATGCACACATGTTTATTTTCAATAGAAGTTAATGGTCAGTTTCACATATCTAATTAATATACTTGGGTGTTCATCATTGCTTAAATCATAACTGTATCCCTCCTCTATGCTTATTCAATTTTAGGTGCCTCATTTAAATTTTGATCAATTAATATAAATTAATGAATAAAACTTGCTCATATATTGATTTACTTCTAGCTTGTAGCTTCTATTCTTAAGGTTTTCTTCTATAAAGGATTTCGTATTTCCTTAATATAGTTTCCCCTGAACAAAAAATAAAGATTTTCTCTGCAAAAAAAATACAACATTAATGCTCACTTTATTAATAAGATGTGCGCTGATTTCAGAAAGACTATCCTGTGAGAAAATGCACATCACAGAATTGAGAAGAAAAACAATACTGACAACTCATCAGTTCATTTTCTTCTAGAATGAAATGTCCTTATCTCTATCACTAAGTGAAAGAATTCTTGACCAAGTGATTTCTTCAGTACTAATAAATGCCTAAATTCAAACACGTAAATGAATCATATAAAAGGATCAAAATTGATTAAACACCTCGCAAAATGTTTAACTTTTTTTCTGGCATAAGATTGAGGAAAAAATATGAACTATTTTGAAATAAATTGCATTTCTATAGCAACAAAGCCACAAGTACTTGCTACCTTAATAACTGAAAAACTTAACATTGCATCCTGAAAATAAAGCTTTCAGTTTCTTGAAAATGAAAAGCTCTCTTGGGATTTACCATACCATCTTTGGGAATGTAATTCTGGATACTGCTTCAAAGGTACCTTCTTCTATTGGAAACCTACTTAAAAGCATAAAGTCACCCCCTGATCAAAAGCAAAAAACATTTCTAAAATACTGCATAATTGTTATTGGGAATACAGTTGCTTCTGTAGCACATAAAAAGAAAATGTGTCATTCTTCTTAATTTGCAAAACTGAATACATTTGATATTTCTCTGAAAAAAATTCCAAACAAATATTTACCTTTTGCTAGTAGAATTTATTAATATGAGGCACTTTTTAAAAATAGCTATTTAAAATATCATATGTAGATTTGTTCCCAAACAATTGACAATTATTTTCATGAATGAGAAATAAGGAGTGAGGTTCCTCTGCTCAGTTGTCAATATGTATAGAAAGCTCTGGAATTCCTGATGTGTCAGTAGACTTGGATTAAGTCCCAGCCTCATCATACTAAGTATAAAAGATCTTGGTAAAACTATTATTCAAACTACTTAATTGTATGGATTAGGAAATTGGAGCCCAAAGAGGGTAAACAAGGTCAAATAGTTTTTGATTGCCAGAACGAGGGCAATATTTTGAAGCTCCTGACTCAAACCTTCCCTGTTTCCACTGTATCATTCTCTCTCAAACAGGCTGCACTCAAGAGAATAAGTGGCTGTGACTTTCATGCCAAGAGGTTGGATTATAAGTGCAGTAAGAGACTTTTATATGTAAATGCAATGAGATGCCTTGAATTTTTTTTGAGGAGAGCAGTATCACAAGAGATCTTTGGTGTTAGAAACAACTGGCCCTGAAGTATATGATGGGATGAATGCAAAGAACCTAAGACAGGAAAAAGAAGCCAGAAGTTAACATGAAAGTACAGATGGGAGGAAAGGATGCTTCCAACTAGGACAATGACAATTAAGTTGTACACGTTTAGCTACCATTTTTGAGTGCATGCAATGTGCCAGACATTGAGCATAATCTCATGTAATCCTCACACCCACCCTCAGAGCTACATGCTATTATTATTGTCAACATTTTATAGGAGTCAAGTAACCTACCTAAGGTTACGTGGCTAACAAGGACTCAAACCCCAGTCTGCTGCTCTTACCCACTATGCCAATGCTTCTCAGACTTCATAACGCATGCATATCACTTGGGGATATTGTTAAAATACAGATTGTTTTTCAAGTTTTGAAAGAGAGTAATTTTATTCAGCTATATGGAAGTATAAATGAAAAGCAAGAATTATATATACTTAAGGTGTATTACTTCATGTTTTCAAATATGTATATGTTGTGAAGTGATCACCACAATCACGCTAATTAACATATCCATCACTTTACATAGTTACCATTTTATTTATTTATTTTATTTACTTGTGGTGGTGAGAACACTTAAGATTTATCCTCTTAGCAAATTTCAAGTATACAATACAACATTGTTAACTATTATCACCATGCTATACATGAGGTCTCCAGAACATTAGACCATGCATAACTGGAACTATGGACTCTTTGACTAACATCTCCCCATTTACCCATCCTCCTGGCCCCTGGCAACCACCATTGTACTGATTGTTTCTATGCATTTGAGTGTTGCAGATTCCACATAAATGAGATCATGCACTAGTTGTACTTTTGTGCCTGGTCTGTTTTACCTGGCATAATATCTTCCAGGTTTACCCATGTTGTCACAAATGGCAGGATTTCCTTCTTTTTAAAGACTAAATGATATTTCTCTCCCCCAACCCCCAGCTGCATGTGTGTGTGTGTGTGTGTGTGTGTGTGTGTGTGTGTGTGTGACATTTTCTTTATCCATTCATTTGTTAGACATGTATAAAATCTTGGCTATTGTGAATAATGCTGCAATGTACATGAAAGTTCAATGCAAATATCTCTTCAAATCTTGGCTATTGTGAATAATGCTGCAATGTACATGAAAGTTCAATGCAAATATCTCTTCAAGGTGGTAATTTCAGGTGCATTTAAGATCAGGAGACCCTAAATGCATGGTTTGTTTCTATGCACTCTCTTCTGTTTCACTGATCTATATGTCTGTATGCAAGTACCATACCACTTTAATTACTGTAGCTTTTTAAATAGAGCTTTAAACCAGGAGGTATAATGTCTCTGGCTTTGTTCTTCCTGTTCAAGATCACCTTGCCTTTTTGGGTCCTTTATATATTTATATAAATTTTATGATTTTTTTTCTATTTCTGTAAATAATGCCATTGGGATTTTGAGAAGGATTGCACTGAATCTGTAAATCAGTTTAGGCTGTATGGACATTGTAACAATATTAGTATTTCCAATCCATTTACACAGAATGTGTTTCTTTTTATCTGTTCTTTGGTATCTTTCATCAATGTTTTATAATTTAGAGTGTAAAAGCTTTTCACTTCTTTCATTAAGTTTATTTCTATTTTATTGTTT